CTGGAGAGCCTCGCAGCCTGTCAAAGCGGGCAGGTGTCCTCCCACAGCCGGAGCTGCCTGGAGCTCCTCATATGCAAAAAAGATTAGGAAAAAATGAGAGAGAAAAAAAATTTTTGGTACCTATTAGGTACTCTAAACTATTTACCTGAGTATATATTTTTAACATGTTGGGAAAATCTTTGGGTCACAGGGGTTAACCAGGGTCTGGAACAAGGAGGGATAGTAACTATGTCCCTACTGGTTGCCAACAATCCCAAAATAGCCCAGGAAGGCGATCAAGCAAGGCCTTGTGTGTACAATGCCTGGGGGCCGGGGGCTAGGGGGGTGTCAGAGAACCTTTTGAGAAACTTGTGAACCTTGTGGGTGTTTGTCTAAGAAAAATACATATCCACGTTTTATGTACAATTCTGAGGGGTGCATGGGATCCTGAAGGTCCCCTAGAGCAGTGCTTAAAAGTCACTTTGTGAGGCAACAATGACAGAGAGCCCCTCGACTTGGCAAAAGACAAACTCAAAGCTAAGTGAACTTCAAGCAGGTCAACCACAAAATAGCCATGTCAAGACACATCAGAATGAGATCTTTGGAAACTTAAGGCAAAGGGGAAGTCTTGCAAGCAGGCATAGAGAAATGATGCATCCCCTTTATCTCCACATAGCGCTAGAGGGTCTAGCCATTGCCGCAGTAAGACAAGAAAAAGAAATAAAGTATATAGACTGGAAAGAAAGAAAGCTCTCCCTATTTAGAGGTTTTGTCATTGTTGTTGTTTTGTCTTGTTTTGGTTTGTTGTGCTCCTGTGGAATTTGTACTTAGACTTAGAGGAAGTCATTCAAATGGAGCAAGGGGATGTGGAGTGGTTAAAGACTATGCGTGTATCCTTTCACCGTTATTCAATCTGCATGCTGAGCAAAGAATGTAGATCAGCTGATGGAGAGCCAGCACTGCATTTGTAGAAAATCTCATGAACAACCTGTGATACACAGATGATCCCACCTTGCTTTCCAAAAGTAAAGAGGATTTAGATCGCAGTCTACAGCCTTCAGAATAGAGTACATCTCAACATAAATTAAAACAATTTTTTCACAGTTTGACCAATAAGCAACATCATGAGAAACAGAAGATGGAAGTTGTCAGGGATTTAACTTCACTTGGACCCATAATCAACGCCATGGAAGCAGCAATCACGAAATTGATTGACATACTACATTAGGCAAATCTTCGGCAAAAGATCTCTTAGAAGCGTTAAAGGACAAAGATGCCATTTGGCAACGGTGTGCCTGACCTACGCCAGGGCACTGTCCATCACGTCCTGAGCATTTGAAGGCTGGACAATGAGTAAGGAAGGCCAGAGAAGAACCGATGCCTTTGAGCTCTGGTGCTGGAGAAGGGCAGCGAGTACGCCGTGGCCTGTCAGAAGGATACTTCGGCCGGGGGAGAAATATCACTAGAATGGTCCTCGGCTACGAGGCTGGTGAGACGTCATTTCATGGTATCAGGAGGGACTAGTCCTCGGAGGGGGACATCCTGCTCGGTCAGCAAACAGCAGCA